GGGGGCTATGAATGTGCAAACACAGGATATACAGGAAATCTCTATACCTTCTCAGAAGCTCAATTTTTCTGTGAACCTAATGTTGCTCTAAAAAACACTCACTTTCTCACTGGGTGTGGTGGTACAAACATATAATACCTCACTTGGGAGGCAGAGGGAGGACTACCATGAGTTTGAGGTCAGCCTGGGCTAGAGTGAGTTGAAGACCAATTTGTACTACCTACTGAGACTCAGTCTCAAAAAAAAAAAAAAAAAATTAAAACTTTAAAATTATTCATTTCTAGAATAAACAAGTTTCACGTAAAAAGACATACTGAGATGACAGCACAAACTCTAATGCTACACCACTACTTGGGTTCAATCCCAGTTTGTCTCTTTCTGGGTTGTATGACCTTGTGGGGATAACAGAGCTTCTCAAATGCTGTTAAATGAAATAAACTAGTTAACAAATGTAAAGTGGCCTCTGTAAGGTATACGGTGCAAAATAAGTATAAATACGTATTTGTTTAAAATATAAACTGGGATTACAGTTGAGTTTCATAGCATTTGTCAAGCAAACCAGAGGCCTCTAGGTTCAATCCCTATCACTGGGTGGGGGGAACCTAGTCACAAAGAATATGCCCATTGCTATCTACACTCTAATATAACTTGATAAATCTTAGTACTTTTGATAATCTTGCAAATCACCACTCTATAATTTTTAAAACTACAAAGGTTAGCTTCATTAAGATTTCTTTTTTGGTACCAGGGATCAAACCTGGGAACTTGTACTTGCAAAGCAGACGACAGCACCACTGAGCTAAATCCTAGGCCCCATCAAGATTCTTTTAACAGAGGCAGGAAGATCACAACTTCAACTCCAGCCTGAGCAACTTAGCAAGACGCTGTCTCAAAAAATTTTATTGCGGGGTCGGGGGAGCACACTAGGGATGTAACTCAGTGGTAGAGCACTACTTGGTTCTACCCCCACCACTGTAGGGGTGTTGGTGGTGGACCTATCATTAGTCAAATCAAACTGCCCAGAACAATTCTCCATGAAAAGAACAACACACACAATGAACATACAAAATTCCAAAAGGTCAAATCCAAATTTTGATTCTCTAGAGAAATGTATAAAGCAGTTCAACTGGGAACATACCCGAGACAGAACACAAAGTAACGGAAATGCCACTTTAGCCACCAAAAGAACAGGAAAAGCAAATACTAAGCCTTTAAAACTCTTACTGCTACTTCTTAGTAGGGCTCTAACCTCTTGCCAAGAATCCTTTAAATTTATTTTTTTAATACTTTCATTTTGAGAAACGGTGAAATTCAGCTCTTTGAAACTGAAGAAAATAAACAAAGTCAGCTTTCTATGTACTATATTATGGTGAACTTTCACATTAAATATTCTAAGTGATGATAAAAATCAAAATAAATTTTATTTAAAGTAATTCTGATGATTCAAACAGATTGCTTAGTATATTTTTAAGACATCAAATGTTTCATAAAAATGCTTCACAAAGCATGTGACAGGAAGTAGCCAAGTCAATGTGAAGTATTTCTCACCTGCTACTAAATTCAAAGACGTAAATTTATTCAGATACAAACTACATACTAAAAATAAAAAGCATAGATGCTATGTCTAACATTAAGCACTTCTTAAATGAGCCTACCAATGAAGTGTAATTAAAAAGATATTGTAGAATGCATTTGCTAATTATAAATAGGATAGCTTCAAAAATAGGTGAATGTCAGTTCTCTTTAGAATTTCTCTTTTACAATACATATTATAGTTGACCCTATTTCTTTGAGTTCCACATCTTTGAATTCAACCAACCTCAGGTCAAAATATTTAGGGAAAAATAATTGTGACTATAATGTACATGTACAGACTTTTTGTCACTATTCCCTAAATAATACAATTATTCAGATAGCATTTACATTATATTAGGTATAAGTAATCTAGTGTTGATTTAAAATATACAGGAAGAAGTTATATGCAAATACCATGCCATTTTAAATGAGGGTCTTGAGTATCCATACATTTTACTACCTGTACAGAAGATTCGATGCCTGAAAAATTGAAGTCCTTCACACATAAAGATATTTTTGTACCTTAATTATGGATAGCCATTAGAGGCCTGAAATTAATCAGAAATCGTGTTTAATATTATACGATGCTTCAAGTTTAACAACTCTTTTCAATAGGGATACTTGCTAATGCTTTATCCACTAATTCTAATAGGCGAACAAAAAAGACCTTTCTTCAACATATATAATGCATCAATTAAGCCATAATTCTTCAACCTTGGCAAGGAAGTGCACAGAAACTAGCCCCACAGTCTAAAAGCTCATAGGGAAAACAGTATTTGTAAGAACGTTTATGCTAAACAGTACATTTTAAAACGTATATTTTAAATTTGAAAATTTTTTTTCATTTGGATCAAGAGAACTAAACTTTTACTGTTAGGCAACATACTTCAGAAGAAAATAAATTTTTAAAAAGAGAAAAATATTACTTGAAATGACATATTTCTGTATTAAAGCTTAAAGGTAAAGATGTAAAACCAAGAACTAACTATCCGTGTAAGTCTTTACAATTTTCTCAAAGCATGTTAAGGTGTGTGGGGAAAGAAAGTGTTTAGAAAATCACTGGTGAGACTTTAAATTTCTTTCTTAGTGAGAACTAGTTTCAAGGAAAATTTAAACAATAACAATGGCAACTGTATTTTAAAATATCACTGAAAAGAAATGGAGGCATCATATTTATAAAGGTTTTTAAAAATCCAACATTACCAGTACATCCAAGCTCTAAAAGTGAGTTCTTGTAATATATACAGCAGTGATTAAAAAAGACCTACAAATATGAGATTATCCTCAAAATCTAATCCCAGTTAGCATCTGCAGTAGCAGCTATTATGAGAAAAAGCCATTAGTATTTATAAAACCACAAGCAAACACCACTCTTCTAACTTTAACCAACCTATTCTCTACCCTCTGTAGGAATCTGTCAAAAGACTCACTGGTACATTTGAACATACAACCTTCATAAAAACTTTTAAAATCTGCATCAATTGTTATAATTCATCATTGTGAGCGGAGAAGAGAAAAACAGTTCACAAAGACACAAGTAGTTTCTTCTTTCCCTTCCATATCAAAATAAACAAACAAAAAAGACAACACAGTGTCCTGGCAAACAAAAATTTTGTAGGGAAAACCAACTAGTCTTTTAAAAGGGATATCAACAGTTAAAACGTCTACTCTAAATACCAGATAATTTAAAAATCACTTATGGCTTCACGATGCATTTTAAATAATTTTCTGTGAAGTGTGTCACTATTTAAATATATTCACCATACTCTAAACAGGCAAAGACTGAACGTTAAAAGGCAGCATGTTTGACTATCACAAAGAACCGAACAGTAATGATTTTTATAAAACTATTCCACAACAAAGGAAGAAATCACAATGAATAATGGGTTTGTCTGCAGCAATAATTTATTCTAACAGCATTTCGTGAACAAAGTATCTTGCAAGAATTTATTTTGTACATTGTTTTTAAGTGCAAACCTTACAGTCAAAGTCCAAGTGAGAAATCAAGACAGGACTCCTGTCAGTGAATTCCGTTTCAGAACATGCTCACTCTTGCTTCACAGTAAAGCCAAATAACTTTCTTGTATGAGGAAAGCCAGTTGGGCTAATGTGTTCAATGGTCGGTTAAAAAGGGAACTTACAACTATGCCTATCTCCCTACTTCTCCCTGAAAAGTTTCAGTTCAAAGCTCCACTGACTCAAGGTTTGAGTGATCCACTGAGCTTTGTACCCTGAGGTAAGGGAGCTTAAAGAAAAAGGCGGTGGCTTCCAGGTTTGAAAAAAATTGGGAGGAGTTACATTAATTGTATCTAAGCGAATGGAGTAATACTATATGTCCAATAAGGAAAATTAGTTCCCCAAAAGATAATCAGCATAAATTGAAATATATCCAAACTGAAGCATCAATCATCTTTTTATTAATTTTTTAAACAGATCTATGTTATTTAAGTTTATTCTATGTTAGGTAAGTTTATTAATCCATCTTGAATCCCAACACTCCAAGTCGCATACACAAGCTTCTAAATTCAAACCGTCAAAGGTAACATTCCGGGAACTGGTACAGTACCGGTATCAGCAGTTTTTTTCTATATCCCTACTTAAATTTTTTAAAAGGCGAGAGGGGAGGTGACATTCACAACTCACTCCGGTCTGAAGCATGGGCAATACACTGATTAAATTCCACCAGGAGCAAATAAAAACAAACTTTCAGAAAGCTTCCCCTACACCAACCTTAATTCCTTTACTTTTTTACTCCCCACGAAGAAGATAACACAAAGTCCGGTGAATGGGTATGATAGTGAAAAGAAAATCAGCTGAAATAACTGAAACTACAGAAGCAAAGAAAGGTAGCCCCAAAAGGAGGAGGAAAGATGGAAGAGAAAACCGAGATGGATAGAAAGACTATAGCAAGAGCAAAAGAAGTGGGATCTACTTCAAAGGCTGCAGAGTAAAAAGGACCTGAGTCCACAGAATTCGGCGCCCACCGAAACCCGAAAAGGGCTAATGGGGAAACAATGGGGCGATGGGTCCAGGAGACGCTCAGGCGAGGGCAACGAGGCGGCACCGGACAAGAAGGATGGAAGGAAGGGCAGAAGGCTGCAGGAGACAGAATAGAGGCAGGGGGTGAGGAGCCAGGCAGGAGGCAGGCTGTCCAGGTGTGATGGGGTACAGTGGTGCATCGGCTGAGAAGCAAGGGTCCCCTAGGATCCGGAAGAAGAGTGGCTTACTTGCCACAGATTTTTAGACAGAGGACAGAGAAACGGAGGCCGCGAAGGCAGGTGTGATGAAAGCAAAAAGAACAGCCCGAGGAGCACAGGACCCGCCGTGCCAGACAACACGCAGGGAGGGAACAGGCAGCTGGAAAGAGATGGAGAAAAGGACGCGGGCTGCGCGGGCGAAGAGGGGGCCGAGTTCGCTTCACTCACAGTCCAGGTGCTTTTTCTTGGGGCCCATGATCTCGTGGGTCGTGGCCTTGCATACTGTCTTGGATACCGCGGAGCCGGTGACACTGTGCTGGGCGGCGGTGATTCGGTCCGTCAGGCTCTGGCCAGACATTGCTGCGGCTCCTCCGCCCCCCTCCCGCTCAGCCGGCGGGGACTG